GTTCACTGTCAATGGCGGCTCTCATTTGTCAAGCTCATCCAAGAGGTTGGTTCTCAGGCGACTCGCACAATGCCCAGTGACAAACAGGAGGGCTCTCCTTTTAGCCCTGCCTGCCACCGGGAAGCCCATCTGAAGTATTAATCTTTGGGTGGAAGAGTGGAGGAGAGGGCTCAGCCTGGCCCAGCCATTGTCCCCAGGCCTGGGCCCTCTGAATGGGGCTTTGTCAGCTCCCCAGCTGCCACTGTCCATGCTCCATCTTTGGGCTTTGGCTCCCATGTCCCCTGGCCGTGCTGACTGGACGCCTCTGTGCAGCTGTGGGGATGTGCGGGTTTGTGTGTGTGTGTGTGTGTGTGTGTGTGTGTGTGTGTGTGTGGGTGGATGGAGAGAGAGGTTAGATGACAGACCATTTGTTTCATACACACACACAGACACACACAAAAATGTGGCTTTACATAGGGTCTTGCTCGTCATTTCAAAGTGGTACATTCATTTGCAATTGAATCTTGAAAACTGTCTTAAATATGTTAGTTCAGTTTCTTAGAACTTTATTGGAGAAATATATTTGTAATGTATGTAATGTATTGTAAAAACATGTCTTGTATGTTTTGGTTTTATTATATTTGATTTGATAAAATCACAGCGATACTGTTGTTGATGATGCTTCACCTTCTTCTGTTGATGATTTAATTTCCCATTCTAGATTAGTCACCTAAAAATCTTAAAGAATTTGTACAGTATATATTGACGGTGGACATAGAGTAAAGACAACACTGGAGCTAATCTGATTGTTTCCCAGAAACAGTTATTTGTTTGTTCTCCATCTGCCTCCTACAGCAGGGGGCAGCTGGCCAGCAGCAATCAGGCCTGTCCCCCATAGGCATCTTCTGGCTACCAGCTGGGAACAGCTGGTCCCCCCTTCTGCTACCAGTGGATCTGGGCCCTGCTGGAAATCCTGGAAAGGAGAAGGCCTCATAGGATCTGAGAAATAGGCCGCATTCACACACAGACAGGTTCTGCTAATGAAGAGGCCTCATTAGGCTACATTTACAGTTTCTATAGAGGTGAATCTATTGTTCGGTCCAAGAGGGGAGCAATAGCCATGGGGCTCCTCAGAACAATGGCACACCTCATCAGGTTGTATTGCCAGTTTCACTGTGGCCTCAGCGGATAGTCAGATTTAACTCACCTGACCCCGTTTGAGATGTCAGCAGCAAACTGTTGCTAAAGTGAAATTAATAGAGGGAGGGGAGAGGTGGGATTGTGAAATTGTTGCTGCTGATGGTGGGGGGTGATGACCAGTGGACGGAAAAGGGTCTCGGGCATTATTAGATTTGCAACAAGCCGTAACACTGTCACCCATTGTGTATCCCTCCACCCCTGCCCTCCCCCAAGCCCCTAACTGTAGAAACCATTAGCCCCCCCCCCCCGTCCTTCGTCCTCCTCACCCAGCCCCACCCCAGCACCCCCTACACCCCCAACTAAAGCTCTCTCTCCAGGCAATTGCCACTGGAGTGGAAAGTATTCCAGAGCACAATGCCTATGCTCTCAATGGGTGCTTTAGCATGCCACCAGTGCGCTGTCACCAGCAGATGGGGAGCTAATTAGAAGCCATTAAAGGGCTTTGATAGTGTGTGTGGGAACCAGGCGGAGGGAGATGGCCACAGGGGTGTAAAGGAGGGTGAGCTTCAGCACACACATACACATGTACACAAGAGATAGAAAGAGATAGAGAGAGACCAAGCTGTCCCTGCGAGTCCTAATGGGCCAAGGACGTAGAGCAGAAGACATCTGTGGGGCTTCAAGGATCTCTGCGAGGCTTCTCCGCACACCAACTATCAGATGGAGATAGTGCTCCTGTAACCCGCCCCTGGCTCTCAGGGGAGGGCATCCATCCACCCACCCAGTCTGCTGCATGCACACAGGAAAAACACCCAACAGGCGGCGAGGCTCCAGCCGGTCTGCACTGCTGATGACACATCTCTGAACCAGGACTCCCACAGGAAGTGACTCCCAACCACGGGTCCTCAGTCATTACAGAGGCTGGGCTGCCCAGGGAGGTGCCAGGCCACGCCGGGACACACCAGGAATCCAGGCAGAAACATACACAACACACACCCACAGATCTCTCACATTCATCACAAACGTCCTCCACTTGTACCTGTCACCGATGAACCCTGAGTGCCACCTGTCAATCATCACTCAACTGATTTGACGTGGTGTGGTAAAAGTTGAAAAATCTGACACCACACTCACCCCTCCCAGTCCCATATGAGCCTCTCCACACACCTGCACACAGGTGTGATCATTATCAAGCAAACAGGAAGAGCGAGACTGGGAACTGGAAACTAATCCCACAGCTGCGAGGAGATGGCCTGTGTGTGTGTGTGTGTGTGTGTGTGTGAGACTAGCTAATAAATGTTGAAAACTTGCATGTGGGGCTCTCCTTTCATAATCAAATTCCTGCACATTTCTTTTCAACAGCGTATCTCAATAATCATGCTGAAGTCAAATCCTCTGTCCAAGAAACCATTTCTTCTCCTCTGCCATAATTGTGGTTTGGTCACTTTCATGTTTCAGGAAGTAGTACACACACTACTTATTGTCCCTGTAGCAATAATAACAGCAGCACCAGTGCAAAAGCATTGCTGGAATGTCCTATTTCCTCTAAATGAATTCCCGCACCAACCTTTCCCCTTGTGGCTTCCTGTAGTGTGCTTTTGTTGTAGCGATAAAGAGGGCGTATTAGCTAATATGTTTCCCCTGCACCAAATGGAACAATTTATCCTGAAAAACGGTACTTGGAAACGGTTTGTGTGACGGCACCAATATAGCCAAGATACACAATGTCCTGGGGGGGGGGGGGGGGGGGGGGGAGCAAGAGTTGCCTTTCTGCTGTTTGATGGATGTAGGATGTTGCAACAGCACTGACACAAACAGTAGCCTGTCGTAGAACTAAAATACAAAGTGATAATCGGCTCACATGTAAAGAGTCCACTGGGAAATGAATTCTGTGTCAGCGATGGAGGAGGGAAGGGAAGCTGGGAGAGGGCACTGCCATTCTGTCAGTTAAAATCAGGAGCTAATATGTTTCACTTTTCTTTCCCTCTGTCTCCTCTCTCTCCTCTCGCCTTGATGTGCTGTAAACAGGCTAAAAAGGGCCCAGCTGTGTGGAGTTATTGTTGGTGTCAGTAGGAAGTGCTGATAGCTTTTGCAGCTGAACAAAAGCTGGATGAGGGGAGTGGAGGGGCGCTCCAGACACTGTGGCTCCAGCCTAGATTCTCTCCCACAATCCCTGCACCGCACTCCCATTGTTCTGCCCACCCGGCCCTCCCTCCGCCCTGTCAGCTGCGACCTAGGACAGAGGGCAAAAAAAAGAAAAGGAAAAAAAGAAAGTTTTAAAAAAGTTTTTACAGGCTACTGCAACAGCTAGAAGAAACAGTCCTGGTGGTAGTTAACTTTGTTACAAGACAGCAAAGCGATACTGACGTTATCTTTGGTCTGGTATAACATCTGTGCAGATATAAGCAGTGGTTCTTTAAATAGCATTTATAATAAAATCTGAACAGAACAAGCTGGTTTTAATTCCTTCAAGACGGTGCAAATGTATTTAAAACATGATGGAAAAACTGGGCATTGCACAGCTAAAGTGCACTTGTTAGCTTACATATTCAGATTTTCCATCGAGAATACATTATCTGCTTACAAAATGCATTGTAATAGACCGAACTACTCCTCAGTATACAAGATAGGACCAGTTAATTTTACATTGGCTAGCTACAATATTAAAATACATTGTATGAATCATGTGCCTCTTACTATCCACGACTCCGATGCACAGATGAGAAATGTGAATTTTTGGGTGTGACTCTTTTGCATGATTTGAACTGGAGCTCTAATACGACTAAATTGCTAAGAAAGCGAGACAGCGGCTCTTCTTTTTACGTAGGCTTCGAGAGTTTACTCAAAACACTAAGATTCTTTTGAACTTTTATTATTGTGTAATTGAGAGTGTCCTAACTAGCTGTATTACTGTATGGTTTGGTAATCTCACCTTGAAAGAGAAGAAGTCTTTGAACAAAGTGGTTCGCTCAGCCAGCAGGATCATTGGCTGTACTTTGCCGCTCCTGGAGGTTACATATAAAGCTAGACTTTTGAATCGAGCTTTAAAACTGCTAATGATGCTTTAGGCCATCCTGCAGGGGCCTTCTTTGAGATGCTTCCCTCAGGGAGAAGGTATCGCTCTGTCAAATGTTCTACCGATCGCCATTTCGACAGTTTTTCCCCCCAAGCTGTGATCACTTTAAATTAGGCACTTTATATCTTATGGATGGATTTTATTGAATAGTGTTTTATTACTGAGTTTTCTGTGGCAATTGCTTGTCTGTTTTATGTTATGTCTTTTATGTTTTTTATGTGGTGACATTGCACTTTCAGCTTCTTGCATATTCTTTTCCAATGTGGTTTTATACTGCAAATGGCTAATAAAGTGAATCTGAATCTGAATCTATTACAAGTACTAGTTCAGTAATAATGCAATACTATACAATAATATGACATGGGTTATTCTCTTGCTTACTTTATCTTTTGATATATTAAATACATTTTACTTCTTCTTAAGTAAGCTTTTGAATGCAGGAAATTCCGGCTACTTGTAATGGAGTATAGCATCTGAATAGTTCTTCCACTATTGGTATGCTATAACGCATTGGATGTTACTATAGTGGTTGCTGGATATAATAGTGGAAAATAGTAAAAACAAAAACAAAATAATTTAAATGTAGTAGCCTAGTGATCATAAAGATGAAGTAAAACCAGTTTTACGGAGATGCATTGGTAGGCTACTGTTTTCTTGTTGTTATTCCTTAAAAAATGTAGTTTACCTTTATATAGGCTAACCTAAATTAGTGCTGTTGACACATGATGCAGCCTGCACTTTTGGGAATAATAAACTGCCATCACTGACTAAATGGTAAACTGAAAATAAAACAAAACGCCTGAAATCGAGTTTTTAATCAAGTTTTATAGTAACCAGGGGACCATACAGTAGTCAGAGAGGGCTGTGTGGGGGAATGCAGCGGTTAGTTTGTGTTAAAATGCGGTAACAACATAATGCCGAGCCCTCCTCCTCCTCTGACAGAGGCGGCTCTGCAGGTGCGCTGGGCGGTAATCTCATCCCGCTGCTTTAAGGTGATAAATGAACGACAAAGGCTCCGGAGCCAGTTTGTTCTCAGGGTCCCGCGCGCCACGCAGGTGAATGGCGGAGTGCGGAGTTCGAGCTCTCTTGTTTGACGTCTCCATGGAGACCGCCCGAGCGGCGCCAGGCTGACAGGCGTCAAGGCTCGGATGAATGGGTGACGTCACCGCGCTGGCGCCTGCCAGTCTGCTCGGGCTTGTTTGGACAATCTGGGGGGAAGATTCAGAACAGAGCGATGCGATCTGAGTGTGCACACAAGGCTGAGCACACACTGCAGAAACATGTGAAGGAATCCGTGAAGCCGCTGCTCACACTGGGCTCCCTTCAGCACACAGCAGCAGGGAAAAGAAAAGTGCAGTTTGTGAACATAAAGGAAGCTTTGAGGTTAAAAAGCAGAGATTTTGTCCAGGGTGTGGGAATGACTGCAGCAGCATGTTTTCAACAATCTGCCCTGAAATGGAAATGTTATTAAAATAATTATAATTGAACAAACCGCTAATCTCTTTTGTGACCGCATTCCACAAATTTACAAGAAAAAACTACTGGAAACAAACTTCATCACCCTGAGCTAATTAGAGTCGCCAAAAAGTGAATCTTTTCCCAAGATTGTTTGGCCACTCATCAATTGTCTATCTTTGCTGTGCTATTGTCATCCACATCTGCAGTGCCATCAACAATTGCGAGAGGCAAATCTAGGGCACTGTGGTAGCCTAATTATCATTAGCCATTCATCCCATTCATCCTGTCCCATCCCACACACATTCTCACATACCCAGGCATTCAACACCCCTTGACTGTCCCCAGGCAATCCACACCTGCAGAGTCCCCAAGCCATGGACAGCTGGATTCCCACATATTACCCATAAAAGACACACATTTGTTTCCATTTGTAACGCCATCCCTCAAACAGATTGTAAATCCCGATAACCAGGCGAGCGCAGCCATTGGCTGAGAGCGCCGTTGTGGACCGACCCGTTAATACAAACTCAGACGTCTCATTGGATTACTGTCTTCAAACAGCACCACTTTGTCACGCCCCCGGCTCCTGCTCCGCTATAAATCCGAGGAGGTTTGCCCATGTGGATGTTGCAAACTGTCAACATTGCCTTGCCAGCATATTTTTTTTAAGGCGGAGAAGCCTCATTGCTCAACTAACCTTTTTTCGCTCGTCAACTTTGGAAACTACACCTCCTACACGAATCAAGATGAAAGTTGTCGGATCTACCTGCGCCCTGAAGAGCAAGGTCGGCGGCGAGGACATGGTGCGATGCCTGTCCGACCAGAGCCTGACTATCTCTAAGTGCAAGATCCCGCTGCTGGACGAGCAAATGTCAGCCTTTCTCCATGACATGAACAGCTGCTACAGCAAGCTGAAGGAGCTTGTGCCCACCCTGCCCACCAACAAGAAGGCCAGCAAAGTGGAGATCCTGCAGCACGTCATCGACTACATATGGGACCTACAGGTCGAGCTGGACGAGCCGGAGAAGAGCCGCCAGCTCTCCGCCAGCAGTGTTCCCCGCACGCCGCTGACCACCCTGAACGCCGAGCTCGCCAGCATCGCAGTGGAGGTAAATATCTATTCACATACAGGCTACTGCAGAATACAGCTGAGAATAGCACAGTGTCCTATAGAGATGAATGCACCACCGTAACAAATGTTAGAATGCGTGCGTAAAGTGCCATGTCTGTGCGTAAAAGCTACTTTTGCTTTATAACCACGCAAAGCAGGTTTACTAATCAACCTTCTCTTCTCTTTCCCCGCAGAATGGATGCTCAGATGACAGGATTATGTGTCGCTAAGAGCTCGTGGAGCATCGCACCATCACCCCACAGAGCACCGCGTAGAACGAGCAAGGCTACCTGATGTGATTTCTCGAGCACGTCAATAAAAACAACAACCTTGAACTGAGTAGGGACGTTTCAAACTCCCAATACTAGAAAAATAACGTTGTGTGGACATCCTCCGGCAGCGAGGATCTCGGTCACTCAAGGCTCTCGATTCATCAGAGGGCCCTGAGAGAAGAAGAAGAAGAAGAAGAAGAAGAAGAAGACCGGTGGTGTCCAGATATAGACTGGGTTAGCCGGGGGACCAAGACAAGTTCAGTGCAACTAGCATCGCTTGTTGCTTGTAGAGTTTCTAAAGAAAGCTAATGTTTCTGTTACGCTCTTTGTATCTTGTGTAAATCATATAGAGAATCCAACATTTTGTAAAAGAAAAAAATACATTTCTCAGATTCCTGAGTGACAAACTGTATTGTATATTACAATGCCAAATTATGTGAAGATATTGTTTTCTTACAATGTACCTTATTGGTGTTTTTATTAAAACAAGACCATTATTTTTGAACAAGAATTCTTCTGGGTCATTGTGTGTGTGTGTGTGTGTGTGAGAGAGAGAGAGAGAGACAAAATGACATAAGTTACTGAATATCATATAATATACATGGGGTTTTAAGTGTTTCATTAGAAATATTTTAACTATAGTTGTGAAACTTGACACTTATTTAGGGCTGTTAGAGCCTTATTCTCATTGTGATCTGAATAGCTTATCTCCTACTGGAGGAGTCTCACTAAGTAGTGTTACACCTACAAGAAGTTGTCAAGTCATTCAGGTAACATAAGACCAAAGCTGGTGGTCAACATAATGGCTCATAGCCAGTTAAATTGGTAATTTGCCTCTCAATGGGTCATTACGGCATCACATTACAAGAGGAAGTCTCATGTCGAAAGATCTTGACAAATCGAGGCTCTGAAGGCTTTGAATCGAGTTAAAATTAAATAAAATCATCAGTTATGACAAATGATCCACCCCCAAGAGGATTTAAGATTCTACCTGTATTTAACAAATTACTGACAAAAATAAAGTGATGTAAGACGGTTTATTTGGAGAGAGAGAACAAAAGAAGAAGAAAAAGGGTTGTTTCACTCCATAAAACATCCATTTAAATGTGGTGTTTCAATATGTTATCGTGTAAATCAGCAGTTTTCGTCTCCTCGGGCACTGCAGGGGTTAAACTGGCTTTGGCGAGGCGATTCGTTATAAGATTTATTCTGTCTCCCTGGTGCAATGTTTTTCCCATTTCCCTGCGGTGCGATGCACACAGCTGCAGCCCCGGCGTGGCCAGTGTGTGATTGTGTTTGTGTGATAGCTTTGTGCCAAGGGCAGGGGAGGGCGGCGGGGCCCAGACTGAGCGGCGCCTCGGCACACCTGGGGAAGTTCAGGTTAAATAGCTCCACATTCCTCAACACACAGCTGATTGAAACATTAACAAACAGTAATCCACGGGCCAGGCCGCAGATGGGCCGGGAACCACGCCAACACTCAGAGAGAGAGAGTTGCTCTCGGGTAGAGATTCCCACAGTACAGTCGTATGTTTTAAGTTTGCTATTAATATAGAAACTTCTTTTTTCTTTTTCCTCTCTCTCGCTTTTTTTTGCTGCTTGAGCTGTTAGAGAAGTGTGCCTATGAGCAGAACTAAATTGTTTAACATTTATAACTCTTGTAATGTTTTCCTTCATGCTGAAAAATCATATCGTATAGCTGAATATCTAATCACTTTTAATTATCTTTATGGCATGTACAAATCCTCCTTATATAATCTGGAAGAGCTGTTGAGAAAATGAAGAGCAGGCTATTGTGGTCTCCATAATAAGTCTGCACTCCATATTTTATTACCATTAAATCCAATTAGGCTGTGTGTAGAATGTTTTTTTTATTTGCTTCATTCTTAATTATTATCATTATTTTAATCCCTCAATCTATAAACATGAATCATGTCCCTTCATTCAACTCTCTAGTAGTTAGCGCCCTCTTGCGAGCATGAAATGAATTGCAGCCTTTTGCATGGTAAAAAGCATATATATGCTCCGCTTGTGGAAATTGTTACTTTAGAAGACAACAGCGCCCCCTTCAGGTAACAGCGTCATGCCAAACATCTGTCAAATATGTATTTTCCTGCTTTTTTCAGCATTAAATTAAAAAAGTGTTACACACACACACTGTCCTTTAGTACAATTTGTGGGTATTCTCATATAATGCTACGTTGTACTTCTACTCAACTCCCCATTTTACATGGAAATTTTGTACTCCACTATGTGGCACTAATCAATTAAACTACCCTGCAGTACACACACAATAGTTAGTCCTAACTCTGCCATCTAAATTAAAAAGCTGCTTACACAAATCAGCAATAATAAACTGATAATACAATCTATAATTTTTGTTTATAGATTACTAAATCAGTCAATATATTTGTAAGTTTAATACAACTTTTTTACTATTACTTACAAACAAATGTGTGTATTTCTAACACTATATCATTTTCCTTAAATGATCTGAATGCTTATTCCACCGCTGTCTGTACTTGTTTGGAGTATAGTGCATCATGCTGTATGGGCTTTAGAATAGCTGAAAATATCCAGTTTTCTTCATTGCTATAACAGATTATTACATCTAAAATGAGAATGGATTAATGAGTTTCTTCCATTAAGCTGACATTTTTATCAATGCAATATACTGGCTGATACTTGGGTTTACTGGAGTCAGACTGCGTAAACTGCATGGATGCATCACTACTCATAACCAGAAGATAATCAGAGAACCAGAGTCATGAGTGTTTAAATAGAAATTTGTATTTACATCAATATCAACATCAACAGAAAAAAAATCTGTAATATACATCCTGTAAAATGACAGCTTATTTTAGCTCTAAACAAAGAAAAACAAACCCAACGATATCTTGCCTCTTTCTGCACTTCCTTCAAACTCTACAAAGTTCCTTTTTCCTGAAGTAACAAAATCTGTACATAAAATGAAGCTGTTTCCTGAAAAATAGAAGAGATATTGATATGTCTTAGAGTGGATGTCATTCCATTGGGATTTCTCTTTCACAGCAAAACATGCTTCATTTATTTTTTCCAGATGTAAAAACTTTCTGCTGTGGGGTTGAGAGTTTCCAGTCCTCTTCACACTGCACTGGTAGCTTCCCACTGTTGAACCACTTAACCCCATGCCCTTTATGCTTACAGTACATAACCATCATATGCTTTTACAGATCCATGTGTACCCATTTACCATTTAACACATATCATAAAATATGTACACCAGAACTCAGAACTATACAGAGATGTGGAAAAATATCTTTGGATTGCGCATGTTGAAAAGGTAGATTCAGCAAGTTGAGAATAACAGTCAAAAGAAGACAGTGTGAATAAAAATACACTTGACAGACAGAGCTGGTGGGAGAGGGAAAACATTGCCAGGGGCTTGTTGGTAGACTGAGGAGCGTGTGTTCCTGTCTTCACTGTACTGCAGACAAAACCCACACAGATCACCTCACACAGAACTCAACAAAATCATTTTATGTAATTGACTGTCCTGATAGAATTCAACCTTCTAATAAAACCTCTGACAGTGTGAAAGCTCACACCTCCAACTCATCAGATAATCATCAGAAGTAAAAGTGCCTCGCTAAAACATGAAATACATGACTTTTTGGAAAATTAAAATAATACAGCATTCAGAAAAGGACAAACAAGAAGGGAAGGAAAACCAAAACACGCCTGCAGTATTTGCAAAGGCATGAGAAAAGCACATCAACCAAATCAGTATTGACCTATGGGACACAAAAATACAACCAGGTCTCATACTTTGTGCAATAATGGGTCTTTAAAAAGCATGTCTGATATATTTTGGAGAATATTTACAGTTCATATTCACAGAGGACATTTGAAACATCTAATACTGCAGTACCATGTGTTTGCTTATAACAGGGGTTATATGATGCTCAGTTACAGTCTAAAGCATAGAGGCAAGAGTTATTGCTCCGATCTGCATAACATAGTAAACTGTGTGCTCATAGCTTCCAATGACTTTAAGAATGAGGCGCATCCAAAGGATAAGAAAGAAAAAAAGAAACCCATTGTTGTGAAGGCATTGAATCTCTAGTAAGGCTGAAAGGATGACGAAATATTGCATCAATCTTTACTCCACACAGAAGCCTCCAGGTAAAGTGCAGCCACTGCCAGTTGTACCGTAGTCCCGTTCTGCAGCCTGGCCGTGACACTGAATACTGTGCGACAGCTCCAGGTTGTTCACGTGAAAACACACTGATATTTTGTGTTTGTGCATCACCTTACTAGGGTTACAGTATGAAATGCTTCAGTTTGGGATGAAGCCTAGCACACGTTTGTCCAAGTAGCCCCACTTCCTCCAGGATGAGCAGTGTGTTGTGCTGAGTCTCCTGTGTCACATTTTATGCTGGAGAACTCCTATGTGTGTGTTTGTGTAGGTCCAGCTCTTTTCAGGGCTAAGACCACTCTGAAAGGCTCCAGATTCTGCTTTCAGTCGCATGTCTTCAGCAATACTTCTGCAGAGACAGAAAAACAGTAAGATGTGCAAACCCTCCAAGGGTTTTAAAAAAAAAACAACATGCGTCTATGCTTTCAACTGTGTTTAAAAACATCAGATGAGCCTCAAGTAAGGCCATTGTGTCAAAGTGCTAGCTACCTGATCAGGTCCCATTGGCATTCTACCCATTCCCATGGGTTTCATGCCCATTTGGCTCTGCATCTGGCCCTGCATCTGGTTCTGCCTCTGTCCTGGTATTTGGCCCATCTGCCCTGCACCAGACCCGCTCACTGGCCCGGGTCCACCCATAGAGTTGTTCATCATCATGGGTCCAAACTGGCCCTGGTTACCCTGCTGGGGGAACTGTTGCTGGGGATATGAGCTGAAAAACCAGAACAATAAAAGAAGTTTGTTATTTACCTCTGTAACTTCATATCACACAAGTATAACGACATTTGGTTAGGGTGCTATAAGGGTGATAATTAAACTATAAACCTTCACTTTAATTACTAATGACTCTAAATATTTTTGCTCAAGCAAGTCTGATGCTACTACATACTTGTTGCGTGGCATGCCCCCCTGTGGCCAGCCTTTCATGTCTCCAGATGGGTAAATGGGCCCTCCCTGCGGATTGCCCTGCATCCCTGGCATCATGGTGTTCTGAGAAGGACCTCCTATTCGTCCTTGTATCATGTTTCCTGGTGGGCTGCTACCTGGAGCCATGAATGACGGGTCCCCCTGCTGGTTCATCCCTGCAAATACAACAACATCAAGAGAACCGTTTTGAGTGAAACTTTGAGCTCCATACCAGCTCCTCCTGGATCTTCGTCTCATTTTAACTCACCATAGTTACCTCCATAGTTGAAACCCTGCTGTCCAGGCTGGTTAATGGGGGTGGCTCCCATGGGGCTGTCCATACCTCCTGGTGCAGTGACATTTGGAGGAGGGCTGAAACCTCGAGCTGCCCCTTGCCCCTGCTGCTGTTGCTGCTGCTGCATCAGCAT